CACTGTTTAAAACGGAAAGTGTATCAATTAACATAATAGACTACTAATATAACTCAACAAATTCAATTATAACACACAAAAATTGTATTTCGGGTTATAAAAAAGATTCTCAACTGGAAAAACTCTTAAAAACATAGTAATCTTCAGAGAAAATTATATAATACATCTGAATACATAAATTATATTAATTGAAAAAATATATGAATACATAGAATACAACGGGATACATTGAAATACAATGAAAAAAAAAGACAGTGAATACAGAAATATATGGAATACAACGAGATACAATGAAATATAATGAAAAAAAGACAATGAATACAATGAAATACAGCGAGATATATTGAAATACACTTAAAAAAGGTAATAGAATCTTCAAGTTGTTCAGCCCAACACTTCGTCATCTTTGTTCAAGAACAACCCTAATGTCGTCTCGTCGAGTTGCAGCCCTAACCAAACATCTTTTGCAGCACAAATACTGTTTCATCGTCTTCAAATAACCAAAGCCCAAACTAAATAAAACTTGATTCCAATATTTGGCAGTAACTTGATTCCAATGTTTAGCCGCATCATGAGGAAACAGAATCAATAAGAAAGGCCCGTTTCAGGTGCTGCATCAGTCAACCTATGACTACAGATTGATATGGAAAGAGGAAATAGTAGGCAGTAAGAGCAAGAGGAAAAAATTTGGGAAGGCAAAACAAAACTGATACCAAAGTTTTGCCATTTGTATCTACGAGGCATAATTTCGTCATTCAGATAGAAAAAAGAGAGAAAGTTAAGATAAAAACTGGCTGTTTGTTGGATCTTCTTTTTGTTTTCCTTTTCTCCTTGGATTGAAGATTACATGCCGGAGACCTTAGCGAATTTGGGTGAAAGAAGAGGTATGAATCGTGGGTTTGTGGGATAAGAGAGTAAAGTGTATGCAAAAAGAGAGAGAGAACGTGGTTAGTAAGATTTACTGTGATTATGTGAGAGAAAAGACTAAAAAGGAGAGAGAAAAATATTATTTAGCATATATGGTGCCTTAAATGTAGGATGTAACTATAATTAGATATTTTGCTATAAAAGATAAAAGGTATCTATAGGATGTAATATTTTAAAATGGTATTTATTTTAAAATAAATAGGGTACTAAGCTTTTCTATAGGGTGTAAAATTTCCATATATATATATAGTATTTTGGCCGAGGCTAACGGGGTCCCGTGACCCTCAACCCACAACGTAAGTCCGCCCCTGAGTCTCTGACCCCCACCCGTCTATTCAAAGCAAATAAAACAAAAATTATAAGATCAAGGAGGTTTTTTTTATTTATTTATAAATGTAGTGTCCTGGACAGCTTGCGTGCAATTTCGGTAGAGTATCTGTTACCTTCCACCATCACAGGTATCGGATAACTCTATTCATCAAACTTGGACAAATATGAAAAAAAGGAATTTTTACATTCCTATGCCACATAGGAAACCTTATTACCCTCAATGTTTAAGGTTTGACTTAATTACACTTAGTATACCAAATTACCAATTCTATACCATAATGTATTTTAAGGGTACAATTAATGCAGCGTATATCCCTCCTTAATTTAAGGTACCGTATATCCCACCCCTCCTACGTTTCTTTCTCCCAAACCCTCACCCTCACCCACGTTTGTGTATATCATAACATCAGGTGACGAATCCTTTATAGCCTTCTGAGACAAAGCATCACATGCCTGCATACGGCGATTCAATTCCTCCAATTTAGCAAGAGCTTTGGCTTTCTGTTGTTTACTTCGTTCTTCCTCTTCTTTCTGTAGCTGTAAGGCACGTGCATACACGACATATGCCATCAATTTCATAGTCCCAGTTCTCAAACAATATCAAATACTATAATCTATTGCAATATTTCTTATTTTTATCACAATAATTGCGTTTTTTCAGAAGATTTTGTAGAAGTTTTAGTCGTTTTGGATTTGTGAAAACAGAAAATAATGCATCTACAATCAGAATACAAATAATCTACAATTCATCTACAAAATATCTACAAACTGGGTATATTGAATTTTAATATCCCAATTCCCATTCGATTGTAGTTTAATTGGGATTTTCGACATAATTGCGTTATTTGCAGAAGATTTGTAGAAGTTTTAGTCGTTTTTGATTTGAGAAAACAGAAAACAAAGCATCTACAATTAGAATACAAATAATCTACAATTTATCTACAAAATATCTACAAACTGGGTTACATTAAATTTTTATATCCCAATTCCCATTCAATTGTAGCATAGTTGTGATTTTTGACATAATTGCATTTTTTCAGAAGATTTGTAGAAGTTTTAGCCGTTTTTTATTTGTGAAAACAGAAAATAAAGCATCTACAATCAGAATACAAATAATCTACAATTTATCTACAATTTCTGCAATATGTCTTCTTCTTCTTCTTCGAGTTTCAATCTGAAATTCAGTCAAAATCAAGTCTAATCTTCACCAAAACCCCTCAAAATTGAGATATAAACTCCAAACCATTTTCCCGATTATTTTCAACAACACCCAATCCAAACAAATAATGATATTTGAAAACCTAAATTTGAATTCAAAGCTTTCAAGCTTTTTAATGGCTGTCAATGGTGGAAAATATCTGGAAGAATATTTACTTCCATAATTGTAGCGCGCCTAAATAGGAATATCTGGAAGAATATTTAGTTTCAGATTTGTAGCGCGCATAATTAGGAAAGAATCAGCTCCTAATAATTGGTATTTAATGAATGGTAGATATTTGTAGAATAACTGTGAACATGGCGGGTAAATATGAAACTATGCACATTTTTGGTAATAAGGTTTCATATATGGTATAGGAAGGAAAAAGTCTCTATGAAAAACTTACCTAGTACCACCAGATTGAACCTGAGACTTCACAATTAACAGCTCACTTCACTAGGCCGCACCCTTGTGTGCTGATGGGGTTGTTGGCGTTATATAACTTCTAAAATCAGTGTAAGAATGGATACCCATTCCTTCACATTGTGAGCTATGAACTAAACAAGCTTCCCAAAAGTTTCAAAAGTGTGATCAAGACTTGTTCAGGCTGTTGCATAATTAGATTGTGACAATGTTGTTTCCTTTAATGTATGTGTCTCTTCTTAAAAAACTCGACGAATCTGTCTAATCAAAGGAAGTTAACAAATTCTTCCTCATCCTATAAACCTTGAGTTTCCTCTTGGAGATAAGTAACCCATCTTAGCCACATTCGTTGTATTATTCTTGCACATATTCCATATCTTGATTCTCAACCTTCTCTTCCAATTGCTCAGTTTCCCTGTTCCCTGTTTCCTGTCCCTCACTTTCTTTGAACTTGGAATGTCTAGTACTCTAGTTGCTATTCTATGGTGATTCTTCACTTGACTATCAACTTCTGCCTCCTCCTCATGCTGCATATGCTCAAATTTCTCTCTTCCAGTCTTTCTAGTGGCTCAATATCATGAATTTGACTTTGACAGCGTAATATAATTTTAACTTTCCACTATCAGTCTATTTTAACTTATTGTAATAGGACCTATTTTATTTTTCAAGTTATTAATCCCACTTTTTAAACCCCTTGAAGTGATAGTTGACTCAACTTTGATTACGTGCTTGGAAAGGTCCTAAAGTGAAGGACGGCATAAACGAAATCAATGTGTTCCAATTTCTCTCATATATAAATTCTTTTGCAAAGAAATTAAACTCCAAAGTTTTTGATATTTCACAAATACGGACAAGAGCAAAAAAGCTCAGTTAATTCCTCAGCCACACAGAAAGACAAGGTGGTGAGGCGCCCCCTCCTCTAAACAACTCAAGTTAGACACAAACATCTTTCTATTCTCATGGCCTCAGCGACATCTCCACCAGCTCCATTCACCTTCATTTCCAGCAACCAAAGCACTGAGCACAGAACATATGGCCGATGGTTGACAACAAAACAGAGAAGACGACATGGCAGTTTCCAAGTTTGTGCAACCCAAGAAGGCCCCAGTAAGCGACAACGTGCTCCTCCTGGTGTTGATACAAGAATTCACTGGGAGAATGAAGATGAAGGCTGGGTAGGAGGAAGTAAATCACAGTCAGCACAAGAACGAATCAAAGCAGACGAAAAGAATCTCCTTGATGAAAAATTCTCTGACCTGCTCGACAGTTCAGCTGATTCTCACTACCAGTTAATCTTCATTTTCTATCTCCAGAAAGTTTGCTATTATCTTATCTCTAAAAGTGTGGCTCACAGTTCAAAGGAGAGAGTTTCCATTTGTTGCTTCTACTTTCCTTAATTTAAGGATAAGAAAAGGATATACATAAATATAATTGCCTGTTCTGAGAAAATGCACACATGATATATCAGAAGGGATAAAGTTCAATCAGAAAATTCTAATTCCAATGTTTCAGAATCTTTTCATAGCACGGGGAAAATCTAATGATCATTCTAAGTTTGTGAATTCAGGTTCTTGGGAGTATCTGCAACTGCTAATCTGGAGGAAATTAAAGCTGCATATAGGAGGCTATCAAAGGAGTATCATCCAGATACGACTACCCTTCCCATAAGAGCAGCATCAGAGAAATTCATGAAACTAAAAGAGATTTATGATGTCCTGAGTGATGAGGAACAACGTCGATTCTATGACTGGACACTAGCTCAGGAGGCAGCAAGCCGAGAAGCTGAGAAAATGAGAATAAAGCTGCAAGATCCGCGCATGCTAGAAATAGAAAACTGGGAATCCGTTCCAGATATGGTGGACAGACTTGGTGGAAGGAACATGGAGCTGAGTGATCAAGCAAAATCTGCCCTCACATTTGATATCTTGATCATTATCTTTTCATTTTGTTGCATTATATATGCAATATTCTTCAAGGAACAATATTAACAGAAACAACCATCCATACAATTGCTCAATGTATGATACATGATACTATCAAAGACAACAACATTCTATACTGTCTACACACTTCATGACTTTCTTCGCATAAGTATTGTACAAAGATGTTAAGAAACTGTGAATTGATGAATAGTCGAAACATGTATTGAGTAAAATATTTGCACTCAAATGTCTGATTGAGCTTAAGGTTACCATAGTGATTTTAAAAGAGAATGGCAACAAAAAAAAAACCAGTTCATATGGCAATGGATTGGGTCGGAAAACAAAACGATTGGAGCTTTAGTCATGAACATAGCTAAATTGTATTTCTATTGAGCTTATAAATGTACATTATTTTTTCTTCATTAGATTATTGATAGAAAGGAAGCAACAATACTCTCATAGTCTCATATATCGATAAAATCTTTCATGACGGGGCTATGTTTCTCAATGTTGGCCTGCCTTCGCCAGTTACCCACAGCCTGCTTAACAGTATCATGGGCCTTCTGTATTTCCTCCGAAGAAAATTTGTGTTCCACAATGCCCAGTGGACCAGGTTGTAGTACCTTAACTACAGTTTCCACATCCAGCTCCAGTTGCCTGCTAAAACAAGCACCAAAATATGAACGGCTCACAGAAACTCATTGTCAACTATGAACTCATGTGTCTCATTCTCATCTATAAAAGCAAATTATGACAATCCAATTGAAGAGTACTTTAAAGCGCACCGCCCCTATCAGTTTGCATTTAAATACCTACTCTTTAATCAATAAACCAATAGTACTAAAAACCGAAACTCCAAAGTTCATGCTAAATAGAAACAAGAGTTTATTGTTTCCTGATAAGCCAATATGTAATTTTCAAGAGTTAGACAAGTTCTAAAATTTCATTTGCTCTTCCAATATCAAATGAATTACAATCCTACCAGAGAAGTTGACGCTGCCTTTCAACCAAAACGGAAAAAGATACTAGTGGTATATAAAATAAAATCCCATCGACAAGGTTTGGTTGTTGTAAGATATAAATCCAACATTTTGACCATTTACAAGGCACTGTGTTGGAGAACTTGCTCAAAAATGTGCAATCTTTGTTGATTAGTGGCTTAAACATTATCATCTACCGAACAATGATTTAAAAGACGTGGCAGGGGCTCAAAGTCAAAGTCCACAAATATAAGGATCAAATTCCAAAATCGGATGAAGTTGGTCACCAGCTAATGTGAATCAATTAACTATACTTCCAGCCTACTCTAGTTGGGGTTGCCGATATGAATCTCTGCATCCATTGGGCCTCCTCTAATTCTCAATCCCTAACGTTGTTTGTTTTTTTGCTTTTTTCTAACAGAAAAGCACTGAAACAAACTTATGTAGTTAAGTCTCATAAATGGTGCACAAGAATTATGCTGAATACACTTCAGGCGAACCTCAGAACAATGTAACCAAATACAGCTAAAAATGCAGTACAACCATCACAAAGAAAAAGAGAATACCGCAGAGAGAAATTACTTGCATACATTTAGTATAAAAATAAAGCTTAACATATCATAAGAGATGCTACTTCAAAAAGAAAATTTGAAATAAAAACAACCGGTTGATTGATTCCAAACCTACTTAACAACAACGAAAAAAGAAACACTGAAAAGAGTGGTTAAGAAACCCGAATTACAGACTCATCAAAAGAATGAAAAAAAATACAGTGGGAGAAGCCAAATTTTAAAGCCTATAATCAATCAACTACACTTCAATCCCAAATTAGCCCATTTCAACTATATGACCCCTTTGTATTAGTTGCTCTCTGTTCAGGTTCATTTCATTATAATATCGTAACTAGACTATTGTTTTGAAGCCTAATAAATATTAATTAAGACACGAATAAGGAATGAGAAGTAGAATTACCTGAAGAGCCTGGAGAAGGGCAATACTTTGCCGATTTTGTCCAACGACAGAGGAGGCATCTTCCTTCTACCTATTCACCCTAAAAACTATTCTCACTTCTAAACATTTTCTATCTGATTAGGGCTTCAGCTACAAGGAAAAGGGGCTGCAGACTGCAGTTGTGGGTCTTCGCTCGAGTTCGGGTCGGAAAGGATCCGACTCCCCCGAGTTTCATGTGTGGAAATGACACCAGGTAGCCAGTTTTCATATTGCTTAAAATATATTCACAATTTACACTATTTAAAAATTAGCCAATTTTACTCAAACTTTCTAGAGTTTAAACCACGAAATTCAAACTTCAGGGCATCATTTCCTAAAGTTCAAAAATTATATACTGATGTTCGAATTTTATGTCCTTAATTTTAAATTAGTACTTCAAAAATTCAGAACACTAAGTCCAAAATTTCCAAATTCAGGATACTTAATCCTTAAGTTTGGCTGAACTGGATAATCTTTAAATATATTGTAAATTGTGAATATATTTTATATAACGGGCTTAAAAGTGACTATTGCTGCACTTCTCCGCTTAATTTTCACGTTGTCCTTTCCTCTTTTTCTATTTTTTCTTCCTCTTTTAGTTTTAGTAATAGGATTTAGTATCACAATTAAGAAGTCAGACAACTTTTGTTTGATTATTATTTTTATTTGTGTACAATTATGATTAATAGTACTACTATTATGGAGTTTCAATATGTAATTTTTTTACTAAGAAGTTGATGTTCAATTGAATTCCAAAGTTTATTATTTGACTTAGGTATTTCAAGAGTCCATTACTCAAATGGTCACTTAACTATCTCAAATTATCTTCTAAAGTCACTTTTCTTTCATTTGTAACAACAAAGTCACTGAACTGTACCTATTGCACTCAGAAGGTCACTCAACTAGATTTTTCAAATTTTCAATTGCCAAATACCTATTTTACTCTCTAAATTATAAACATTTATCTTCTTTTTATTTTTGTTAAACTTTTTAATATTATGATTTTTCCCTTTTTAATTTATATTATGGACTTACCTATAGAATAAGTAAATATCATTTATAAATTAAAAAATAAAAAATATTTAAGCATATATAATGCTGGAATAACAAAACAATGAGCATAATAAAAAAAATTAGAATAATTTGTTAGTAATAATATTTTATAATTTACAACAAAAATTCAAAAATTTATTTACACAATTCAGAATGAAAGAAAATAAAGGTTGTAAAATATATATTCCATGCACGTAATATAAAAATAATTATTTAAATAAAGGTATTTTTATAATATACATTATATATTCTTAAAAATTATGCTCAATTATAGTATATATATTCCATGCACGTCTTAACATAGCATATTATACCCTGTACAGATAGTCCCCTACTTTCCAATGACAAAACTTTGTGTCATTGAAAAGTTGGTAGAAACATATAATATAATTGAGTATAATTTTCAAGAATATATAATATATATTATAAAAATATATTTATTTAAATACTTATTTTTATACTAAGTGCATGGAATATATATTTTACAACCTTTATTTTCTTTCATTCTGAAATCTCTAAATAAATTTTTGAATTTTTCCTGTTAATACTAAAATTATTATTATGAATAAATTATTCTAATTAATTATTTTACTATGCTCATTATTTTGTTATTCCAGCATTATAGTCTTAAATACTTTTTATTTTTTTAATTTATAAATAATGTTTATTTATTCTATAGATAAGTCCATAATATAAATTAAAAAAGAAAAATCGTAATATTAAAAGTTTAAAAGAAAATAAAAGAAGATAAATGTCGATAATTTAGAGGGTAAAATAGGTATTTGGCAATCCAAAATTTGGAATATCTAGTTGAGTGACCTTCTGAGTGCAATAGGCATAGTTCAGTGACTTTGTTGTTATAAACGAAAGAAAAGTGACTTTAAGATATAATTTGTGATAGTTGAGTGACCGTATGACTAATTAACTCGGTATTTCAATAATGTTATTCTTTCGAACGGGAGAATTGCTAATGTCTTAATTAAACTTATGTAAACCAATCGTCAGCTATTGTGAGACAAATCGTCAAATGCGTGACCAACAAATCTGCTAACTATTTATATTCCACACTCTTTATACCCTATATCGAGCACTCATAGGCACACTGTATGTGGCAAAAATCTGAGAGCTCGATTTTACGACCGTCGTCCCTTGCCGTAGTTTCACCTCGAAGGCCCGGGGTATAGCTCGAGGTTCGTCTTCGAGATTTCTTTATGACCGACCACGGGGCAGCGCAAATCGATGGTTTACCATGAACAAGCAGGAAGTTCCCAAGGCACGTGACCAAAACTAACAATACCTGCAAGAGAAACACTAGTCTGTACCAGACTAGTGAATAGCTGTGCCAGCTATATTTTTTTGTAATAATAACTCATGTACTATGTTGGGATTTCCCTTCCTAGATAAAGGGGACCCTTACCATTTTGTAGCGGGGGATGAGATTGAATACAAGAACAAGAACATTCTCTGCTCTCTAACTTAAACATACTCTCTATTTGATTCTATTGCCTACATTCATTATCTTACTTGTATTTATTATATTTCATTAATTTTTCTTCATTTATTTGATCGTAAAGAGCCGCCATCAAAGCTCTCATAATTGATAGTCATTCATCGACTACGCTTAGCTAAGCATCCAACTCGACCTCGAGGCCCCGTATATGCCAGTTCGAGGCCCCGATTTTCAGTCGTTCGGTTTGATTAATATACTATCTTCAAGCTCTTATCTTATTTTCTAGTCTCTTACTTAGCATCTATTGCCTAACAACTAGCATGAAAATAAATCACATATTTTTAGAACCACAAAAATCTAATTATTATCACCATTTTCAAGGTAAACAGTTTGGCGCCCACCATGGGGCTATAAATAATAGTGATTGTTTTCTTGCTAGTTTACTACATAACGCAAGTTATCTTTCACGCTTTTTCTTGTCCAAAGAATCTTTGATTTCAGGTCAAAATGTCAAACTCAGTGAATGCACGTGAGAACAACGGTCCTGAGGATCATGGAGAGAATGGTGTAGCTGTTTCAGGCGTTTGTGTACCACCGCGAATCCCTGAGGATGCACCAGAACCAATTCTCGTAGACGTGGTCTCGCGCAACGCCCAACACGTCGTTATAAACTCCCATACCAACAGGAGTATATGCAAAGAGAACCAACAGGAAGCTCGGAAAAATCCAACCCGGGAAGAAAGAGAGGCAGACGGGAGAAACGGAACGGAAAAACCTCAGCACATCGTTCATATGATCATCAGAGGGACAGACGTTCCCCAAGGGCCCGTGATCAAGCGGGCAAAGGTTTCCGTCGCAATGGAAGGGCAAATCCGGGGCCGCATGCCCTAGGACGTCCTTGCCTTCAGTGAAGAGGACATCGAGATCTTGCCGCATCCCCATAACGACGCGCTGGTAATTTCATTTCTCTTGAATAACGTTCAAAGTAAACGTGAACTCGTGGATCCAGGTAGCTCAGCCAACGTAATCAGGCCGAAGGTGGTGGAGCAGCTCGAATAGCTCGATCAAATCATACCTACCTCCCGAGTCCTCAGCGGTTTCAACATGGCCAGCGAAGCAACGAAGGGGGAGATCACCCTCCCGGTCAACGTGTCTGATACAGTTCAAAACATAAAATTTCATCGAAGGTGACATGAGATATAATGCATTACTTGGAAGACCATGGATATACAACACGAGGGCAGTAACGTCAACTCTTCACCAGAAGATAAAGTTTCTGGCGGAAGACGGTATAAAAATGGTATATGGAGAACAGCATGCGGCGAGGGAGATGTTTGCGGTTCATGAGGAGCCACCAACCTCAATATCCTCCACCTCGGAGGAGCCAGAGGACAAACATACCCCCCAGAACGATGAAGAAGACTTCCTGGCCCCCCAAACCTTCATTGCCCCCGAAGAATCGGACGCAACAAAATCAACAGTGGAAGAGCTGGAACAAGCTAGTTTGGTCGAGCATCTCCCAGATCGGAAGGTATACCTGCGAACGAGATTAACCCCCGAACTCAGGAGGAAATTCATTCAATTCCTTATAAATAACATCGATTGCTTTGTGTGGTCCCATTTAGATATGACAGGGATCCCGCCGAAAATAACCACCCATCGACTAAGTGTCGACCCCAGGTTCAAACCAGTGAAGCAAAAAAGAAGACCCCGGTCCGAGGTAAAACACGCGTTCATCAAGGATGAGGTAACAAAACTCCTCAAAATAGGATCTATTAGGGAAGTAAAATATCCCGAATGGTTGGCCAATGTGGTGGTAATTCCCAAAAAAGGGAATAAGTTAAGAATATGCATAGATTATAAAGACTTGAATAGAGCATGCCCCAAAGATTCATTCCCGTTGCCCAATATCGATCGCTTGATCGATGCTACGGCGGCCACGAGATCCTCACTTTTCTCGATGCCTACTCAGGGTATAATCAAATTCAGATGAACCCCGAAGATAGGGAAAAAACTTCGTTCATCACGAAGTACGGTACGTACTGCTATAATGCGATGCCTTTCGGGCTAAAAATGCGGGAGCCACATACCAACGCCTAGTTAATAAGATGTTCGAAAACCAAATAGGCAATTCCATTGAAGTTTACATTGATGATATGTTAGTTAAGTCCCTGCGCGCAGAGGACCATTTGACTCATTTGCAGGAGACATTCGACATCCTCAGTAGTTACAACATGAAACTCAATCCCGAGAAATGTGCCTTCGGAGTGGGTTTGGGCAAGTTCTTAGGCTTCATGGTGTCAAATAGAGGGATTGAGATCAATTCCGATAAAATCAAAGCCATCGAAGAGATTACGGTGGTGAACAATGTAAAGGCCGTGCAACGGCTGACTGGGCGAGTAGCAGCTTTGGGCCGATTCATATCAAGGTCGTCAGACAGGAGTCATCATTTCTTCTCCCTACGCAAAAAGAAAAACAGCTTCAAATGGACTCCAGAATGCCAACGTGCTTTAGAGGAGTTGAAGCGATACCTGACGAACCCACCTTTACTCCATACCCCAAAGGAGGATGAAACACTGTATTTGTACCTGGCTGTGTCCGAGGTAGCGGTAAGTGGTGTGCTGGTTCGAGAAGAGCAAGGTACGCAATTCCCTGTCTATTATGTAAGTCGGACCCTGGGAGATGCCGAAACC